TGGATCACAGGGGTGTTGATCAGTTCTGGGGTGTGCAGCTGACAGCCCCTGACACTCGTGTCTCCTGCAGATTGACAGGCAGCAGTTTGAGGAGACGGTCCGGACCCTCAACAACCTCTATGCAGAAGCTGAGAAGCTCGGGGGCCAGTCCTACCTGGAGGGCTGTCTCGCCTGCCTGACCGCCTACACCATCTTCCTGTGCATGGAGACGCACTATGAAAAGGTTGGTGTTTGCTTCCATTCAGCCTCCAGGCAGGTCCTTGGTTCTYGGGGAGTGTCCTGTGCCTTGCAGCCCTGTGGAATCAATTCTGTGTGTGTGAACCTCAGAAATGTTGTACTGATCAGTKTGGGTCCCRTGGCAGTGCCTGCTCTGTGGAGCCATCAGCCCARTTGTGTCTCACRTTGCTCTGTCTGTGGCACTGCTGGGGCTCTGACTCTTCAATAAGGAAACCATTATGACTACTGTGCTGTTTCATTACCAGGTTCTAAAGAAAATTGCCAAGTTCATTCAGGAACAGAATGAGAAGATCTATGCTCCTCAGGGCCTTCTGCTGACAGACCCCATTGAAAGAGGATTAAGAGTCGTATCCTTGTGTGGCTTTGACATTTTTGTCTCCTTGTTTGTCTCAGCGAGGCAGCTCTGCTCTTGCTTGRTCTGTGAGACACCAGACTGTCATTAGTCTTGCTGCTTTTTGTTTAGTCCTGGTCCCCAGTCAGGTTCTAGTATGTTAAGATTTGGCACATGGAAAGACCATGAAAATGTGGAACCTGAGCTTTGTGAGTGCCTGGAAAGAGCACTCAAGAGCCTTCCTGTATTCCAGTGACCTCCAGAAATGCTGTTTTTTCTGTTTGGGGAACGAAGTGACCGTGTTGATAGGACAGAAATYGGTGTTGTGAGAACAAGAGCTGGCTGTTACTTAATTTGCAACCCTCAGCTCATGTTCTGATGAAGATTTTGACATATGACATCACTGCAAACTTAGCACTTGCTTTTGCTTCCTTTTTCTTCAGCTCTCGAGCCACATTGCAGACATTTGATGTAGTTATTGCCTGAAATTGTAAAGACATTTCATAGCAAATGGGGAGAATAATGAATAACACATCTTTCTTTGAAAATATTGAAACCACAGCAGCTTGGAACCCAGTGCCAACTGAGTGTGTGAGAAGGTTCATTCCTCACAGATGGGTTTTCTGTGTCCTTGTCCAAGCAGCTCTGAGCTGTCAGCTGCATGACTCCTTTTTTCTCAAAGTGTTTCCTATGTGCATATACCTCCTGGGAAAAAACCCAACATTCCACTTGAGTAAAAGCATTTGCAGTTTGGTAAGGGACTCCCTTTAGCAGTGTTAACTTTTTTGCTTGGTGCACAGTCTTCTCTGAAATTTAGCAGAGGGGGACGAGGCTCAACCCCCTGTACATAGCACTGAGTTCCTGTGCAGGCTCTGGGCTGGGGCCAGTGCTCTCACCTGGTGGGGTGTCTCACATGGACTTTTCCCTTTGCTTTGG